CTCACCTTGGGGCCCTGGCGTCCAGGGTATCCGGGCAGGCCCGGGACTCCCAGTTTTCCCTAGGAAAGACAGAGATGTGGAGTTAGGAGCTTCTCCCACTCCTCCTAGCGTGTGTGTGTGTCCCCATAACCACCGTCCCCTCCACGGTGCCCCTCACCTTCTCCCCGACCAGCCCAATGGGACCGGGGTCTCCGGTGGGGCCCGTCCGCCCTTTGGGACCCTCGGGCCCGTCCTCTCCGCGGGAGCCTGGAACGCCGATTTCACCCTGCGGGAACGACCGGTCAGGGCGGCCTCGCCGGGACGGCGGTCTCGGCGGAGGCCGGACCTCCCGTGCGCCCACGTGCGCTTACCCGGTCTCCTTTCACACCCATGTCCCCCTTGAAGCCAGGGAAGCCTTCTTCACCCTATGGAAGGGAGGGAGATGCTGGTACGGGCGCTCGGGGTGCCGTGCTAGGACGGCAAGAGGCACCGCTCCGTGGGGTGCAAAAACACACCTACCTTCTCCCCCTTGTGGCCTTTGAGCCCCCGAATGCCGTCCACACCCTGGGGAAGGCAGGGAGAGAGTTACGGGATGTCCCTGTAATGTCCCCCCGCGTCCACCCCAATTTCTCCTCGTCGCACCCAATGGATGCGTTGTTGGATACCCAGCACCCGCCGTTGTCCCCGGTCCCGCACTCACCTTGACACCGCGTGGGCCCGGGTAGCCGATGGGGCCTTGGGGACCCGATGGGCCCTGCGGAGAAGGGGGAGGTTTAGAGGAGGTGCCAGGGGCACCTCCAACCCTGCACCCCTTTGGCCCGTTATGGTTGTTCCTTTACCTGGTTGCCTTTGGTGCCGGGGGGTCCCTCCTTCCCGGGGTGACCCTATGAGACAAGAGGGGCCAGGGATGAGCGGCCCTGGGACAGAACCCGTGTCCCCAAGCCACCCCTCGCTGAGCAGGGCCTCATGGTGCCGCTGGGGACATCGGCATCAACCGCTTGGTCAGATGGGGTTGTCACATGGCGGACGGTCACCGGGAAGGAGGTGGCGCTTCCTGGTGGCCAAGGCCACATCCCAGCACGGGCCACTGCCAGGGGACATCACCGGGGCGCACAGTGGGGGACCGAGTACTCACGGGCGGCCCGTCGGAGCCGGGCATGCCGGGCAGGCCGGGTTTCCCTTGGGGCTATGGGGAGAGAAGCCGGGGTCAGAGGCAGCGGTGATGGCCGCGTCACCGTCCCCCTCCCTGGCACGTGATCCCATTCTCACCTTCTCTCCAGGAGGTCCCGTAGCGCCCTGTGGGCCTGGCAGACCCTGCAACACGGAGACAGGATGAGGGGCGACGCAGGTACCGCCGCGGCGCCCGGAGCGCTGCACCGCGCCGGGGGGACACGGCCACCCCATGGGGCTGCTCACCTGCGTTCCCGGCGTCCCCTGCTGCCCGGGGGGTCCCGGCTCTCCTTGTGGCCCCTGTGACAATGAGAGGTGACAAATCAGCGCTGGGGGAAACCGCGTTGGGGGGCCACCAGTGTCACCAATAGGGCATCGCTGCCATGGCAAGGGGGACGCCACGGAGCGACGCCACTCGAGGACACTGCTGCAGGGAAGCTCACAGCACCCAGCATGGGCGGACAGGCCGCCCCGACTCACCAGGTTGCCCTTGGGCCCAATGGGACCGTCCATGCCGCGTACGCCCTGCGGAAGAGAGACACGCGCTGAAGCCGGGGCCGGCGGCGCGCTTGGGGACACAGCGGGGACAGCGGCCACTTACCGGAGGGCCAGGGATTCCCGGGGGGCCTTTGGGGCCCAGCAAACCTCGGGGACCCTGTGAGGACAAGATGGGGTGTTAAGGGGGGTAGGGGACACCTGGGGGTCCTTGGTCCCACCCACCGTGGCGTTGGCACCACAATGAGGACGTCACCGTCCTTTGCCACCCGCTATGGGCTGCCCCATACCGCTTCTCCGGGCAGTCCTCGGGGTCCCACGTCGCCGTCGTCTCCCTGCGGGGGCACAAGCAGCACCCCAGGGCGGTGAGCCCCGAATTGGGTCCCCATCCTGTCCCTCCCCGCCACCCGCCTG